TGTTAATTCCTCAGTTAATAATCGAATTGTTACATAGATTCACATTTGGTAGAGCCGGACGGATAGTTTAAAATGCCCTTTGCCGCTTGCCTCTATCTTGCGCCCTTTAGTAGTTATTCACATTTAAAAATAAGTCAAATACCTTGTCGCGTTTCTGCTATCCTCATACCAAAATTTTGTAGACAAAATTGGATCTTTTCGAATTCGGAACTTTGTATCAGGATAATAGAAACGCGAGGAGATATAGAATTTTTTTATTTTGGCCGTAACTTTTTTAATATTGATGTTAGAAAAAAACCGAGTGTATTTTTGAGATCTACATGTGACCTTCTATCCGTATGCAAATTTAAATTGTTTTTTATTTTTTGAAAAAAATCGAAAGGGTATAGCCTTCCAAATTTTTTGACAAAATTTTTTTTTGTCTCTGATCTTGATGAAAATTGGGGTACATATAAAGGAAAGCACGAGCAATTAAGGGGTGAACTCAGTTGCTCCCTATCTATAAGGGTTAACTTTTTTTTAGTAATTCCTCAGTTAGTAATGATCGAATTATTTCATAAATTCACATAAAGATAGAGCCGGACGGATAGTTTAAAATGCCCTTTACCGCTTGCCTCTATCTTGCGCCGTTTAGTAGTTATTCACATTTAAAAATAAGTCAAATACCTTGTCGCGTTTCTGCTATCCTGATACCAAAATTTTATAGACGAAATTGGATCTTTTCGAATTCGGAACTTTGTATCAGGATAATAGAAACGCGAGGAGATATCGAAAATTTTTATTTTTGCTTATATCTTTTTAAATATTGCTGCTAGAAAAAAACTGAGTATATTTTTGAGATCTACATGTGACCGTCTATCTGTACGCAAATTTAAATTGTTTTTTATTTTTTCAAAAAAATCGAAAGGGTATAGCCTTCCAAATTTTTTGACAAAAAATTTTTTTGTCTCCTATCTTGATGAAAATTGGGGTACATATAAAAGAAAGCACGAGCAATTAAGGGGTGAACTCAGTTGCTCCCTAGCTGTAAGGTTTAACTTTTTTTTGGTAATTCCTCAGTTAGTAATGATCGAATTATTCCATAAATTCACACAAAGATAGAGCCGGACGGATAGTTTAAAATGCCCTTTGCCGCTTGCCTCTACCTTGCGCCGTTTAGTAGTTATTCACATTTAAAAATAAGTCAAATACCTTGTCGCGTTTCTGCTATCCTGATACCAAAATTTTATAGACGAAATTGGATCTTTTCGAATTTGGAACTTTGTATCAGGATAATAGAAACGCGAGGAGATATCGAAAATTTTTATTTTTGCCTTAACTTTTTTAATATTGCTGTTAGAAAAAAACCGAGTGTATTTTTGAGATCTACATGTGACCTTCTATCTGTATGCAAATTTAAATTGTTTTTTATTTTTTGAAAAAAATCGAAAGGGATAGCCTTCCAAATTTTTTGACAAAAAATTTTTTTGTCTCCGATCTTGATGAAAATTGGGGTACATATAAAGGAAAACACTAGCAATTAAGGGGTGAACTCAGTTGCTCCCTATCTATAAGGGTTAACTTTTTTTTCTTAATTCCTCAGTTAATAATGATCGAATTATCCCATAAATTCACATAAAGGTAGAGCCGGACGGATAGTTTAAAATGCCCTTTGCCGCTTGCCTCTACCTTGCGCCGTTTAGTAGTTATTCACATTTAAAAATAAGTCGAATCGCGTTACCCTAAATTATACGAAAATTTGATTATGGAACTAAATTTGGTAGGCAACACATAATACACTAGTTTGTAATATTGGTTGCCTATATACCAAAGCAATTGTACTATAGTTCTAGCTACTCACTCATAGATGGCTTATGTAGATTTTATCAGCTTTTGCAAATTTTTAAAATCAAAAAGCAAATAAAACAAGAAGTCGAATGACGTGATGTTTATTTATAAAACATACATAATTTAACAACCTTGAAAACAAAAATAAATAATTAACAGAACACTTTTAATTTTTAATAGTCCGTCCCAGTGGCGTAGCCAGACATTTTAATGGGAGGGTTTTTGAGAACAATGGAGGGGTTCTATCAACAAAGTGAAATATTTCAGATGATTGTTTTTATTAAAAAAAGTAAATAAAAATAGGTATTTTTTTTATAAAACGATACAAAAGTAAATAAAAACAAACAACAAGGGAGGGGGGTTTGACCCCCCAACACCCTCCTTCCCCATGGCTACCACACTTGTCCGTCCTTTAAAATGGAAATACACATTTTTAATTTATTTGTTGAACAGAGAGGTAAAAAATTAAATAATAAATTAAGAAAACAGACTTTTTGTATAGTGCAATTTCGATTTAAAGTTTAGACAGAATAAAAACAAAAACATACAATATATACAATGACATAGAAATTGTACAACATTTAAGAACAAAAGTAAATAATGTTACAATACCAGAGAGCTTTAGCAAATGTACGTAAGATCTCCCCTAACGTTACGTTAAACTTAAATTATGAAATTTTTCTTAAACATTAAAGGGGTAAATTACAGTATATCGTTCAGATAACGTTAGTGGATGTTGGCTTAAAACTCTCTAATGAAAAAAGATGGATATGGTTAAAATTAAGTGTCATTAAAAATACAATAAATAACAAAAACAATATTTCAGTTAGTCTAGGAACAAACGTTAATTCTTAGGAAACATTTTGTAATTATATTGTTATCAAAGTATTGAGGTATCACAAAATGGAATAATTGACCATATAAATCATTAGCAGATCTTTTGACTATTCAAAGACACTCATTAATTTAAAGATTAATACGTTTAACAGTATAATATGACCTCATTTACATGAAAAATTACGTATTTCTGTAAAAATCTAAATTTGTAACGGTGTCTTGTATTTATTTAATATTATAATATAAATTTGAAGAACTGGAGAGCTATTCTTGAATTCGAGGGCGTAGAAAACCGGTTTTTTCTCTTTATCTGCGATGCATAAAATTTGTATTTTTGTCCCATTCTTTCCTCAAAATTTCTACTGCCTGATATTCAAGAATAGGTACCCAGATTCGATATCATTAGAAAAATTGGGATTACTGGACTTAAATTGAAGTAATTTCTAGGAAGTGATGCATTTTCTCCAAGCTGCTATTACACTGAATGAATTATCCTCGTACAGGTACTCAGTCCAACAAATTTACTGCTGGATGATCGAACTTCAGCTTCTGAAATCATATATTAAGCGTTTATAGTAAGGGATATGGCTAGCGACGTAAAATTCTCGAGCACGTATTTTTGGTGAACGTTCCTCGAGCACAAATGATAAACGAGCATAAGTGAAAAAATAAGAATGTATGTTTGTGCAGATTAAAATAAGAAGAACACCTTTACGTCATAATCATTATTTCGAAATACAAATATATATGTTTAGATTTGAACATATTAAATTAATTATTTATTGAAGTAAAATGTTTAATTTCATAGGCAGTGTTCCATAATAATAATAATAATAATAATAATAATAATAATAATAATAATAATAATAATAATAATAAAAAACTATTTATCGACTGTCAGCACCTTTTCCAATAGAAGTATATAGATACTGCTGATTCTATTTTGGAATATTTGTAATAATTATTGTAATCAACGAACTTATATTAAAATTGGAAAAAAAAGTTCAATATGTATTCCAATTCGTGTCTGTGCATTAATTTGAGTAAAATAATTTATGTTGAAACAAATTTTTATTTCATTTTTTTATTCGTGAGAATTTATATCATTAACTTAATTATATACAAAATTCATAGAATTTCTCAGGAACAACTTACGACAATTTTAAAAACAGAAACATTAGATTGGAAGCAACTGATGAAGGATATCTGCTTAGACAAAGGTAAATAACTTTAAAGAACTCTACTTCAAAAATAAACCAAGTTAAAACAGCTTCTGTGAAACTGTAGGCGTTTGTATTACATGCTAATGTAGTGCTAATTTCTTGAGTTTTCAATTATTACCACAGAGATAGGTCAGAAAAATATGTAAATTCAACCAAATAACACTCTTCATATCTTCCATTTACATGGAGAAATTTGATCTGTTGGGATTTAAAATGTATTGTATGTGTAGCATAGGCAACCAGTATCACACATGTGTGTATATCATGTTGCCAAAATATATGCATAAATTTATCCAAATAGTAACTGGAGTCCTGGGACTGTAGTAGAAAGGGTTAGATTTAGAACTTATAAAATAAAGTTAGACAATGGATCAGTATTATACAGAAACAGAAAATTTATAGAAATGGGTAAACAAAATGAACACCCATCATCTGGAAATACTGCTCCATCCACAAAACTGTACACCAGTAGAGAAAATGAACCTATTAGGTACTATATAGAAATAGAAAATTGTAATAATGAGAAAAATCAGGAAAATGTTAACATAAATAGATAAAAATAAAGCTTAAATACTTACATTATTCGCTTGTGTACTGCTATATTTTACAAATAACAAAGATAATTTTTATAATTCGTAAAGTAATTTCCATACCATTCAATTGAATTTTTGTGTTCAAGATCATGTTTCAGGTTTTATTAAATCCAATATCCTAAAATAAAAAAAATAGTTATAAGTATTTGAAACCTATACCATTTAAATACAGGGCTCAACAAACACAACAAAATCTCAATGATTGCGTTTACCATAAAAAGAAATCAATATACCTATTGAGGAGAAATACCAAATATTTTCTAATCTGCTTGTAAACTTATTTTTTTGTTAGCAGTGTGTTATTTTTTAAATAGTAAATCACAGATAAGACAAAAGAAAAAACTTCCGCAAACATTATAATTTGAAAAATATTCAAATATTGTCATTTGTCATTCTCGTCTTCTATACTTTTTAAAAATATGAGGCCCGTTTTTTGAAGAAATTTGACCAGTAGGCACTGGTCTGTTCTAATCAATTATTTGGTTACAATTTGTACGCTTTGCTGCAAAGATAAAGAACACTGCAATATGAACTAAAAAAGAAGAAGAAAACCGAATTCCTTTAACAAAAAAGACCACAAAAGTATAGAAGTACAAAATGGCATTTGACATAAATAAAAAGTGTAGAAGACTATTGTTTGTTTATTTTTATTTCTTGACATGTGTCAGATCAGATCATGATGTACCAAAAAAAGTAAAACAAAAACAAATGTTTACGTAATGTAAAGCAAAATCACCAGTGGCTGTAATTTAAAAATATTTACAGCTAGCTCATCTTTTATATATTTTAGGACTGGATCACGACCATAATCCATATAGACATAATAATATTTGTAAGCGCGTAATAAGTAATGTGCCAAAAATAAAAATATAAAAACTTAATTATCTTGTGTGTACTTAAGTACGAACATGCGTCTAATATTATTAATTAATACGATGTGCATGTTTGTAATTATGAACTTAAATTTCGAATTCTGTGAACAAAGAACTATGGTTAAAAATGTTTATTTGTGACCCAAGTTGATAACAAACAGTAAATGGCAAATACAATAAAACGAAGCCATTCGCGAAGGAGGATCGCAGCTCTTTCATTTCTTTCCAATATAACTCTCGATGGCAGCTACAGTGATACAAAATTTGCGATCCCATCAAAAAATGGTAGCATCATTAAAGCCCCATTTATGTGTACTGAACCGGTACTTCCTGAAGAATCTGAGAATGTTGGCGAAACGTATGTGGTAGATTTTCATGTAGATAATGTTAGAGAAAAATTGATACAGACTCCTATTCTTGAGAGAAAAACAGTTAAGAAGTATAGAGCTAGTAACAGTGATTCAGATACAGAGAGCATTACACCAAGTAAAACACATGTGGACGAATGTTCATTTAAAAGTAGGACTAATAAAGAGAAGTATGTTTATTATTACTTAAAATTTTTAAATTGCCTTCAATATGCACCATTCGATCAGTACCTACTAATTATAGATATATATTTATTTGACTTCATAAATATATATATATATATATACAATGTTCATAGGAGGTTATAACTAGGGACTAAATTTTTTATCAATTAACACGTTAAGCGCCACACCTAATAGGCTTACAATTCTAAAACTTTATTTTTTTTTAAATTAATTAAATATTTTTGGCACAAATGTTTGATAAAACAAGCCATAAATGAAAAATTATCATTGTTTTTTAATTAAAACTGGTGGGAATTTTTTTTTGGAACTTTGCATCTAAATAGAAAATTTATTAGCCACCACATGCCATCTAAACAGTTTTACATATTGTGTTGACTGTGAAAATCAACCATACATTGTTGTCTAGAATATTTTACAGTCGGTAACAAATACTAAAACATTTTTGGTACTTATTTTGACTTACTTATGACCTTTATGTTTATAAAAATGTTTTATTAGTTTGGTAAGAATATCATCAGTTTAAGAAGTTTTTATTTCATTATTATGTAGTTTGAGTTTTCTTATAAAATTCAATTTTCCCTTTATTTTACATTTGTACTAGGTAAATAAAGAGAGTACTTGTAACACCAATTCTGTTCATAACATGTTGGAAATAAAAAAAAATTAACTTTTATTATTATTTATTAGTATTTTCTAAGAAATTAGATAAGGAAAAGTGAAGGAAACTGCAAAGAAAATAATTCATTACAAACAGGACTGTATATTATCTGTGGAATGGTCTCCAGGAACATACAGTCTCAGCCCAAACCAATTCAAGGCGACAGTAGATAAAGAACTTGAAAAAGGAAGAAATAATTTTATTCATTATAGTTTATAATATATTAAGTTTTAACTGTCATGTAGTAATATAGAATAATTTTTGTCATTAAATAAAAAAACAGCTTCATTAATTATGTCGCTAGCCTGTTCTTAACAACAATAATAATAATAATAATAATAAAATCTTTGATTGCAGGTAAATATTGAATTTATAAAAACTGGATTTAATTAATTAAATTTGATTCAAAATTAATCTTTATTTAAGCTACTAGATAATAATTGAAAATGTCTAAAATAATGTCTATACTTCACACAACTTTAATTTTTGGGGCAGGTTGTCTCAGAAAAAAAGAAGAAAAATAATATATATTTTTTTTAAACCAAAACACCTTATTGCCATACTTTTTAGCAACCTTATATTTTAGTAAAGAAAACAGGTTTTTAGATGCTTTATATCTTTCAGATTTGATGGTACAGGTGAACCCAAAATCAATCCAAAGCTGCTAAAAAAAATACCGCATCAAATTTCAATATGCAGTGAATATGCAGAAAAGAAATACAACAGTAGCACAGAAAGTTTAGGATCAGTCACGTTTAGAAATAAACCTGTAGTAGAAGAGAAGATTAAGAAGAAAATTTCAATTTTTAAACCCACAAAAGATCACAAATTTTCTGGCGAAAGGATCGTTTTTGTTACTGACAAGCACTCTGCATTTTTGGTTTGCTCCTTTATACCATACAAGAAAAGTTTTAGGTAGTTACAATGTTTGATATAATATTATAGAACATAACTGTACAAAAGTACAAATACAAAAAATATTAATGCAAAATACAGTTAATTAATTTCAATTATAAAAAAATTGTATAATAATTGCATAATAAAATCAATTGAGGAATTTCTGACAAAAACAGGTTTAGAAAAACCTTACTAAACTTAATTGTCGATTATTTTTTAAACCTTCTGAGATTTTACATTTGAAATTGTTTGAATAAACAATGTTGTAGTTGTTATTGCCAGAAATTTCTTGTTTTTAAAATTATTTTTATTTATTTAATGTCTGCCTATGAGAGTATGATAGGGTATCCAAATGGTGGCACAATAAGTCATCTGTGCTTCAGTAACTCCATGTGAATTCCAAGAGAAGGGGAAGCAGGCTGGATCCCAAGCCTGAATGAGGGGAGCCATTGATTGGACTCAAGCTTGAATAGGGGGAGAGTACCGGAATCATTTGGGGGAAGCAGAGGGATCCCTTAATAATTTGGCAACTACATGGATAACACAGTGAATCCTAGTAAACAAAATTATTCTAGTATGATTGGTCATCCCTAACTTCCGGCCATGCCCAATAAATATTATTACTGTAGAAGTTTTGCATTTTTATTTTTTAACATGTTACATTATTTTAGGCACGATTTAAAAAGGGAAGGTCCGAGAAAACGTACTGCTTCTGGAAATAGACCTATATCAACTTGTGATGGTTTTGATCCATTTGATTCTTTAGGGGTAGAAAGAGCTATTGATGGACAGGTAAAAATACATTTAATAAACCAGAAAGTTAGTTAATAATAAAATTTATTTGTTTAATAACGTATTACAAATAATAATAAATGTGAGATTGATCAAAATTTGAAAATGTGAATGATTAAAGAACTTTCCAAAGAACCAAATGTCACCAGGTGGCAGTTAAGAAGAAACACATTTATTGGGGATAATCACAAAGGGCTAAATAACATAATATATAAAAAAAATGTTTTCAGATTTAATCCAAATCAAAAATTCTAAAATCCAATACCCACGAGTATAATATAATATTCCCAGAAAATAATTTAAAAGTGTACAGATGTCTAGAAATATCTAAAAATGTTTAAATATGTCTAAAAATAGTATAGTATGTACCATCATAAACTCATCTGAATTAAAGTTGATCTAAGTCCAAATATAGAAGTTGAAATATTCGCTAAATACCAACAAACAACATACCCAAACTTAAATACAATTTGCAGACAAATTTAAATTTGATCTAACAGATCACATGAACTCAGAAAAACGTAAAGCTATATTAAAACTAAACATTTTCCAGGTATATTTCATATCAAAGGAAACCAACTAACTTTTACCAGTAAAATATTTTTATATGGCACCTTATGGTGCCTACCATTAAAACTAATCATTCATTTTGTTCTGAAAGAATCTTAAACTAAGTACTTATCAGCTAAACTTAGTCCTCTACATCATAACCCCAGTACATCATTACATAAAAATGATTTGTTTTTAATTTTGACAGGAATATTCTTACGGTTACTTATTGGAACCCTCAAAATACCATAAAGACGTCTTAAAAAGAAACACAATTGATGATCCAACTGATAACGACCCCATTAAAAAACCGGTACGCCAAATTGTATCAAGGTATTAAAACCTATTACATATTTATCCAAAAATATACACAATCATATTTTCAGATGCGCTTCTTACGAACCCCCATCTCAACGACCGCTGTCGCATTTACTTACACCGCCTATTCAAGAAATAAAGGAAGAAACTTTAATAAAAGGCTACGCTTATCATCCAGACCTGCTCGACGATCCGGAATTGATTGTTGGAAAACACAGAACCGTTTTAACTTTTACATCGTATGTTACTTCGGTTATAGATTACGTCAAACCGTCCGATGTAAAGAGAGAGATCAACGAAAAGTTTCGAGACAAGTTTCCGCACGTTGATTTGACTTTGAGCAAGTTAAGAAGGTAAGATCTGCGGTAATTGTTTAATAATACAAACATTAGGTATAGTCCATTCATTTAGTTTACTTTAATATTCAATTAAATACTGAAATAAGCTGCGAATTATTTATTATGGTCATATCTGGAAATTATTTTCGGTTTGCAGTGATAAAAGTTCGTTTGGTGTCTTTACTGGCAATTTCTAACTCTTCATCTAGAATGAATTTTAATAGTGACTCACCTCAAATAGTGTGGTGTCCATTCGCATTGCATCTTATTATGAAGTTGGTTTCTGCTCCTCGCAATGGGTAATGATTTTCCCTAGTATTGCTGGGAGGCAGATCGTTTCCTCTCCCGGGAAGTAGACGAAGCATACGACGTAGCTCTTCTCTCCCTCTTTCATTTAAATTGATAGGATAGCTGTAACAATGTTTACTTAAATTATTACTATGAATTTTATGTTATAAAAGTGTTTGTGAAAGTTACCAAGTTTGGTTTCTCTCATTTAAACAAAATGGATTTTCATCAAGAAAATCCTGAAACAATTAAGAATTTAACTTATAATATTTTTTTTTTTTTTAATTGGGTTAAGTCCGAGCTTTATTTCTCTTAATAATTGAATATCGGTGTTAACTAAACGAATTGACTGTAAACACACTACAGAAATGTCTACATGGCCAGTACCACATTTAATGTTTATAAAAATTAGATTCAAAATATATTAATGCCTATAACGATCCTTCTAATCTTTTGAAGGAAGTGTAGGATTTCAGAAAAGTTTTATTAAAAAAAAACAATTATTATTAAAATGTTCTGCATCACTTGGGAATCCATAGTTAAACAATAAATTTTGTAAAATATAGGTGGTATACAGTGAAAATAAAATACCTATCAAATAGCCGATTTCATGCCCCATTTTCGCATACAAGCCTCAAAGAGGCCAATAAAAACCTATAATTTTTGTTAATTTCCTTTCATTCTATCCAACATCGATATTAGGTTTTTTTCACATCAAAAAGTCAAAGCAAATCCTGAAAATACTTGACATATTATCGTTAATATTTAATTTATTATGTTTAATAGTTTGAAGAGGGAAATGCGGAAAATAGCCAAACAAGAATGCAACATCGACTTATTAACAGTCGCCCAAGCTTACGTATATTTCGAAAAATTGATCCTAAGAGGTGTAATTCACAAGCAAAATAGAAAATTATGCGCCGGCGCCAGTTTAATTCTGTCGGCAAAATTGAACGACGTCAAAGGAGATACATTGAAATTACTGATGGAGAAAACCGAAACGATGTTCAGATTGAATCGGAAGGAAATGGTCGATTCGGAATTCGCCGTACTAGTCGCCTTAGAATTTGGACTGCACATTCCTACTTATGAAGTCTATCCACACTATCAAAGATTGTTGTACGAATCGTAATTAAATATGATTTATTAATAGATTTGGATAAGGTAATAGTAGGTCTAATGTCTAAGGCATTTTTATGCTTTGTATCACTTTTTAACCGACTTCAAAAAAGAAGGAGGTTGTCAATTCGTCAATTTTTTTATACATGATCAGATCATTCTTTATCACGTCTGATTTCTGATGATGGGATAACTTGTCAATTGTAATTTTATTATAGGGAATGTTGTAATTTAGTAAACTTGCCAAATTTTTAAAATCTTATGTACATGGTGTTTGTTAATGATCTATGTTACAAATTTATAGTGAATTTAGATGATTACAAATAGACAATATGAATATGAACAAGACAACACACATTCTTAAATAGATTATTTTGAACAAGAATAATTATTTGACTATCGTTGTTACTTTACACTGTTTGGAATATATTAATTCAAATTTTTTCAATTTAATGTGTTTCAAAACAACTTGATTATGGATGTTATATGCACACTATGTTATTTTATATCTTTGGTTATTGCTTCCAGTTACATATACGTTATCTTTGCCCAACACTACAATCTAACAAATAATATATTTTCAAAATGTTTGGTTTGGTCTTAAAAGTTTTATTTAATTCTTAATCATCTATATATATCATATATGTGTGAAATCTTGGATACTCGCCATATAATATAGTGTTAATCTTGTTAAGGATAATTTTGAGACAACATAATTTTTATTGTAAATAATAACATGTACTAGTCAATTTGATTTTTTACTATAAATGTACTTAAGAACTATTTGTTTTATTAGACTAGGATTTATGTTTAAAAAACCATAAGTACAACGTATTAGTGTAAATTAATCTTGTTGCATAATAAATAAATAAATATTTGCATTTTATGTTTTTTAAATAACATTTCTCGAAAACTAGCTACCTTATGAATTTTTCCAAAAACTTGGCTATAATCCAAAATGTCTCTTTGTACTGGACTATAACTCCCACCAGAATATATCTAGCACCATATAAACGACAACTGTTTAAACTTCAAGTATTTTTAAGCAAATAATTGTGCAGAGAATTCATTTAAAATCGTCGTTTTTTATTATATATGTCTATAACAATCAAATGTTTGATATTAGCTCAATGACAGTGGTTTTCACACCTACACTGTCTATTATTCCTATATTCAACTATAATAATACCCTACCTATATTTCACCCCCTTATAAGTAAATTTGAACACCTGAATGAGCTTGTTTATGGAAAGGAAGACTATTATTTACCACTGTGCCAACTAAAAGATGATTTACAGATAAGGAAAACCTCGCCCACCATCCTTAAAACAGTAATTCACTGAAATTTATACTCTAGATGCCATATCAACAGAAATAAAATTACTGCACCATCAATTCCCACAAATTATTTAAAAAATCACATGGTCTGCTCTAGGATATGAAGTCATGTTCACCAAGCTACTGAAAGAACCATAAAGATGCATTGACCTGAATATAAGATTGTTGTCCATGAAGATTTTAAGAATCTTTTACTCCTAACCTGCTAGTGTATTAACAAAAGTAGTAAAACTTTTGAGATCGAAGGTAATGGGAGTAAAAGGATTCATCAATTAAAAAAATAAGTTTCAGTATAAATATATTATTTCTAGTAGTGATTACACTGATAAAGCCTTATCTTAAAAATAAATATCACAAGTTACTTGTAAGCATACAACACATTTTGTTTTTTCACTTGCAACAAACATATGAAACAATCAAAATTAACTTATAACTATAGAACTCTGTTTCATGGAAGGTGAAAAATTAAGTTGACAATCTAACTAATGATTAATTAATCTTAAAAACATGTTTCTGATTTTCAGAATATATTTATGATATAAAATGAGTGACTTTAAAATCCCTATTTGGTTCCTGAGAGTTGTCATCCACATAAATTTGTATTCAAGTTTTGACAATTTTAGCAGCTCTAGTTAATTTACAAAAATTAAATGTTTGCCTATGTTATCAGGAATGCTGAAATTGTGTGTAGATTAATTTCACATAATATAACTATAATCAAAAACTATTTTAAAATGTCCTACTATTAAAATTATAAAAATTAGTTATTTAGCCTTAAAAGAAATCAAAGTATATGTACAAATATTCATATAATCAGCCCCAAGCTTGAGTCTTGCAGTAGTGGAGCACTAATTTTCCTTCAGTACTATAACAGTCATACAAATTCTTCACTATTTGATCTGGAGCAGGTGCAAATGTTTGATTTATATATAAAAACAGTTTCTCATTGGTTTCCAACTTCAAATATTTTCTAATGAATTCTATAATCCAGCCTATTTTCTTATCACTGTCTACAGTCCACTTTTTCTTTTTCATAATTGGTGCATTACCAGTTGGTTTTAATAAAATATCAATTTTTTGTTTTTCTGGAGACAAATCTTGTGCAACATTCATAGACTGTAGAGAGTCTCCTATTTCTTGAACATCTGGTGTATCTTCGCTCATCCTTTAGAACTATTTAAGTTTCCTGTCTTCGCCAATTTTTATTTTTCTCTTCGAAGCGCCCAGTTTGTCAAATCAAAAATAAAGTAATTACCTGTCAAAATGCTGACAAGTGGGAACTGACAGTTTAGATATGGCAACACTGTGGGTATGTTGTCATTGACAGGGTCAATGATACATACAATTATATAGATTGCTCAAAGCGGATTGTGTGCGAGTGACCATATTGTCTAGCGAGTGCTTATTAGAATCAGTTTATCAAAAATGTGTTTACAAATCAATTTTCAGCCTTTAACTATAGTAAAAAAAATAGTTACCTACATTTTTACTTTGAGGCATAAGTATTGCTGCGTTTGAAAAGTACCTCGTTTTGCTTTTTTTACTCGATACCACCCCTTTCGCTCCGTTTCCTCCATTGATATGGTTTGCTCGATGTCACGTGACCAAAAAATCTACTCGCTCTGCCCGATGAGGTACTTTTCAAACGCAGCATATGAAGACTAGAGATAGGCATAAGTTTGTTTATTTTGAAAAACATTAATATTTGATGCCTCTGCTGCCAGGGCTGTTCGGCCTAATCACTATCAAGGATTGAAAATTAAACGCGTGAACTAAGCTTTAGCTACCTTCTTCTTCTTTTTACTTAATACTATGTATTCTTACTTTTGAAGATGTACAGTTATTATTAATAGCAACTGTTTAATAAATCGTAAATGGTTGGGGAGGGGCGCAAGGGTCTCATTCTAGGCCCTATATAGCGCGTAGGTGAAATATAGAGAAACTGTTTTATACTCGGACAAAATATTGAAGAAAGTGATTCCTTCCTGTTCACGTACAACAATCATACTATACCAGAGCATAATGAATGAAATCACGCGCTTAAATCTGCAGAAGTTATCGGAATCACGTGACAACTAGTCATAAATGCATGTTTATTGCCAAAATGAATTACGCCAGGGCGTATAAAAATTATTGGCAAATTAAATGCGGTAATAGTAAATAATATTATATCAAAGTAGGTTGGTTATCTATTTTTGTAGTAATAATAATTTATGTTTATTGTTAAAATATGTAAATATTATGCCAGTGGCGTAGAAACACTATTGGAATATTAAATGGGGTATTATACTAGAACAAAATATTGAAGAAGGTGCGCCTTAAAACTGCAAAAGATATCGTTATCATATCAAAATGCACTCTTTCAGTGTCGCAGAAATACTATATTTGGAAATTAAATGGGTATTTGTGAATATTACTAGATGAAAGTAGGTTGGTTATCTATTTTTGTTATAATAATTCATCTATGTTTATAATTCGATTATACTGAACTTAAAAAATAGGGCATTTGGGTACTTTAGCATGGCTAGTGGCAGCAAGTGGAAAACTCTATAGCTATCACATACTGACCTGTAAAGTATCCAAATAAGGAATGGGTCTTTGCAAAATAAACTCATTTTTTATTTTAATAATTCAAGATATTAATAGTTATAGTAAAAATCTGGGTCCAACTGGACTTTCTTAACAGTTTAGTTAGTTTTAGTTAAATATTTTAACAACAATTAAAAAACATAAATCCCAATCGGTTTTTTAAGCACAAATCATGACTTTAGTTAAGTCAATTTTCTTAGGTGGTCCACAATATTGCAACTGAAATACTAGATTGAGATTCTTCAGTTTTTCCATAAGTTCATTATCCTCATCAGTTGGTATATCTGTATAAGAACCAATTTGGACTTGTTTCAAGTTTGGAAAAGAGGAAAAGTTGATATTCTTATACACAGAGTTTTCAAAGAGAATAGTTTCGAGTTTAGGCAATTTTTGAAATTCTTCATAGTTTATAGCTGATGTAGTTTCATTTCCAAAACGAGCAAGCCATTTTAAATTTATCAATTTTAATATAGCTTTAAAATTTATTTCCCCAATTTTATTTTCCATAATAAATAGATTTTCTAGCTTCTGAATACATGAGTGAAAATCATCTAGTACTTCAATTTGACATTTTTGAAAAGATAAATATTCTAAATTAGAAAGTGTACTTGCATCAAATTTTTTTAACTTGCAATTCTCAAAAGTCAAATTGTCTAAACTTTTCAAATGATAAAAACAATCATCTGGTATTGAGAGGTTCTCTAAATACAATTGTTTTATTTTGGAACCTTCAAATATTTCTTTATTTATTGAAGTTTTTGTGTTTCTGAAATCTATAGACTTCAATTTTGGTAAGGATTCGAATGCCTTTGGTAATATTTCTATAATGCTTTCTGTAATGTTTAAATAACTCATGGCAGGTAACAGTGATAATGATGTTGAATCAATAGTTCCTGAAATACAAACGCATATTGTAATGATATATCTACTGAAATAATACAGAATTTGACTGAGAGTAATAATAATAACAATGAAAGATGAATAACACCAGTTTTTAACTGCATTTAAAAATGGAACAGAATCCTCACAAATAATTTTGTTATAGATGCATCTATTAATAATAATAATAATTGAGTATTTTATTTTTTACCTGTACATTTTCTTAAATCCAACCAAGTAGTCATTTCATTAGGATTCTCATCTCCAAATATTTTAAGTGCTTCTCCAACTTTAAAATTATAATTTTCGCAATGAATATGACGACTAGATGCTCCACAGTAGATTCTTGGTTCCATTTTTTACTTAAGTTTTTGCCAATCTAGATGTTTACTAATTTGCAGACGAGTTTCTCTATATAAAAAAAAATATACCTATAATTATGGTATCTACCAAATTCTTATTCTGTCTTTTTATAGATTTTACATTTGTTTAAGCTGATTTCTTAAACATATCATCAAGTTTTAAGCAGTTTGTTCTGAAGAGGACTAGGATCATAGGGGTAGAAAATAAAATAATGTGCTAAAGTGTTTAAAATAATAAAACAAATCAATTATTTTAATAAACATAGAAGCTATGAGTATTAAAATACAACTAAATTTATTGTTGGTTGATTGTTGTTGGTCCTAAAATAAATATTTAGATTTTACATATGTGACAACTCTCTCTATTCTTGCTAAGTGCAATACTTTTACATCTAATCATTGTTTCCTGTTTTGATTCATTTTTTTAAATAATTAAACCCAATTTAACATTAAATAAACGTTTGAGAAATAAAAGTTTTTAAACAAAAAGTATGTGTTCACTGAAGAAACTAACTTACCATAAAGAGTTCTTTTTGAGTAAATATGGTGAAATAAAGGAAGGGTAGATAACAACACTAGCCCTTGGAATTTTAACTGTAATAATAAATATTCAAAACTGTCTTTAAACCGATTCAAGAATCTTTAAGATTCAAATCAATTCAAATTATGTTGTTTTGGTTTGGATTTTGGCGTATTGAGGTTAAATTAATCTTCTATTTTACTATTTTGATTTTTGCTTGACTTGATCTGCCCGCCCAACCAATCACCTCTACGACCTACCACTTCATTTTATTACACTTTCAAATTATTTACAAATATTTTATATACAAATATAAATTTCTTTATGCAGATTTGTATTTTTCTAGAAATAAATAATAGAAAAAGAAGAAGGTCTTCGCCAGCCTCAACATCTCACTGAAAACTTCAGTGGGTTATGATATGGCAACCCTGTGAGACTGATGATTTGACAGGGTCAATGATATAGTGATAGTTATATAGATTGATCATTCCTGTGTTTCGGATACATCTGAGACGTTGTGAATTTTTTATCACGTGATAATTTTTTTTTAATTACTAAACTCAAAATACCTTCTATAAAATTTGTTTCATTTCATTTTAAGGTATTCTTTGTACTCAATGTAGGCAAACAAAATATGATATTATCATATAACAAAGTTCGGCACTGTGCTTGCTAATCGCTAGATTCTTTTGATGTCGTTTTAAAAGTTAAACGGCAGACAAAATTAACTCAAAATGTATGCTTGAAGAAATAAACACGAACTTTGAGCAATCTATATAACTATATTTACATCATTGAACCTGTCAAAGCTAATTGGAGTAATACGCCCACAGGGTTGCCAATATCAATCCCGATTATAACCTACAAATTTATTTTTCAAATTTTAAATTTAAATATTTAAAAAGCCTAAAAATGAAAAGAGTAGAGTGAATTTGGAAATGGAAATATGATGATAGTGTATAAATGTAAATATGTCGTTCCTTACCAAATGCTGTAATCCATTAAAAAGAATATGCTCTAGATTTCCTGTAACAAACTTTTGTACAGTACCTGACTATAAAAACTGTTTAAAACTAAATGGCATATCTCTAAATAACTATATCGAGAAACTACAAAAAGAATTCGAAGTTTTAAATAAGGAGAACATAAATAATTCCAGAAAACTTGAATTACAACCAATTATGCAGATTGTAAATGAAAGAAACCATTTAATCAACAATATCCATAATTTGAAAGAGTTACTTGAAGAGAAAGGTGATTTAAGAGAATTGGCTGTTGATGAAAAAAGCAATTATGAGAAACAATTGGAATCTTTAGACAAAAAATTATTACATTCTTTAGTACCTACTGATAAAAATGATTTATACGATACTCTAGTTCTTGAAGTACAAGCTGGTGTAGGAGGGCAAGAAGCTATGTTATTTGCCAAAGAAATATTTGAAATGTACAAAAATTTCATTGAATACAAAGGTACTTGATCTTAAAAGTTAATCATTAAGGTATATAGAATGACTAGGGCTGCAAATGAACCTTATCACTTATTCCTGGTTCTTATTTAAATTTAAACTCTTTAAATAAATGTGTAGCTTTTCAATTTTTAGTTTCTCTTAAAGATGTTTTTATTCATTTTTAAAATTCCCCTTTTTTATAGGTTGGGATTTTGAACTAACAGATTATGCACAAACTGAAACTGGAGGAATTCGTCTAGCCTCAGCTCTTGTACACGGGCCCTCTGTTTCTCGATACTTTAAATATGAAGCAGGAGTTCACAGAGTCCAAAGAATACCAGCTACTGAAAAAAGTGGTAGGGTACATACAAGTACAATATCTGTAATATCCATGCCTCAACCTACAGATATTGAAGTTAATATTAAACCAGGCGATTTAAGGATTGAAACGAAACGCGCTTCAGGGGCTGGGGGACAACATGTAAATAAAACTGAAAGTGCTATAAGAATGGTCCACCTGCCCACAGGAATTGCTGTGGAATGTCAAGTGGATAGATCGCAAATTAAAAACAGAAAGTTAGCTTTGGCTAAATTAAGAGCCATACTGTTTCAGAAAGAAATAGAAGCACAATATAATTCAATAGAAGCTGTGAAAAAAAATCAAGTGAAAACAAGGAATAGGAATGAAAAAATTAGGACTTATAATTTTAATCAAGACAGAATAACAGATCATAGGTTAGGATTGAATGTACATAATTTAAAAATGTTCATGGAAGGTGGTAGACCATTAGAAAATCTAATTGAAAAATTAGATGAGCATTATTTAACTGAAAATTTGTTAAGCATTGTAGCTGATAATTCTTAATCTCACTCATTGTAATAATTCAATTTTAATAAATAATTTTGTGTTTGGCTATATTTTATTTGAGTTTACTTAAAATCCTTTGTATTTATAATTACTGATACATATTTAATTGCTAGTGGTCTAGTCAATGATGATTGGTGGGGTTTTCCTCACCTTGTAAGTCAAATCGCCTAGGAGCACCAGGACAAATAAAAAGCAAGGGCCTGTCGGAGGGGATCATTGCCATTAGACATTCCGTTTTTAGTATATTTTTTTTTTAATAAAAGGCTTGTAAGAATTTTAATTTCGGGGCCTCCATGGTTCTCTCCCTGGCCCCGTCCTTGAAATAAAAGCTCCCCCCTCCGACCAATGCGGACATTCTGTGATGACCGTGAATATTTACATCGCTGAATACTGTGAGGGGTACAATAAGCTTCAGTATGTTACAGAAATTAACAGAAAAAAAAATAGAACTTGCGAATTAATTTAGACAATAATTAGAAATGTAATAACATATTATAACACGTAAAATTTTATAAAAAATGAATCTATAAAAAAATCCTCAGATTCAAGCAGTTCATTCTTTTCACCAGGCTTGATGTACCAGGAAATCTAACCAGTTCAAGCACAAACTAAGAAAAAAGTTGCGAGAAATCACAGAAGATGCTCTCGAGTATACTTTTTGTCATTTAATATTTTTACAAGTCTAGTGCATCCGTGGGCATACGTATAATGCTGTAGAACTAATTAGATTATAACATCTATAAAACTTTCGGGGGAAAGTACTGTGGAATTGCTAGTGTGATTTTCTATGAATTTCACTTTGTAACCTCTATGAGATGTGCTATAAATGTCTCGCAATTGCAGATATTCGGTGGTTGCATGGATGTTAAAAGGTTACATTACATGCGAGCTTTAAAGAGCCCGGATATTGCAGCTTTTTAACGTAAATAGGATGTTTATGTGCTAGCTGGGTTGTTTTTAATTTCTTTATCAAATTTCACATTTCGACTCATCACAAACAGTGGCGCATCCACAGTTTAAGTCTGAGGGGAGGGGTAGTGGTAATATTTAAGATTTTGTTTTGAATAATAATACATTTTAGTAAGTATACTTATAAAAGTTAGGTTTAAAAATTTTTGAGGGGATCGTAATTACCCCTATTCCTCCCCCCCCACCCGTATATGCGACCCTCATCACAAATATTCTTCACAAAAATGTAACATAACCACGGGAGTGGGGCACACACTGGAAAGGAATCCTGGGATTCGTTTTTCCCTTAGGAAAACAAGTTCTAAGCTTAATAAAAATTAAATATATTTCAAAACAATCAGTTGGGGCAATAACGATTTCTGAATGTGACTAGAGGGAGCTAAATGTGACCACTCAAAATGCATTTAACTATTTGAAATTTATGTGGCTATTTAATCAAAAAATCATTACATATCCACTCTTACGACATTTGCGTAAACTTCTCAGAAGAATGCAATTTACTTAACAATTCTAACTTGTTAACGCATTTTAAAGTATACGACACTGAAGAAAAGGTTTTTAGCAATTTAAAATCTCCCAGCGAAAAATTTATCTTTTATATTTTCAAATTAGAAAAAATATTTATATCTCTATTGGGCCCGTTCACTTTCATTTTTGAATGTGAATTAATTATATATTTATAAAGATATTAAACTCTTTTGTCTGGTGGTACTTTTCCCGTTAACATATTTTTGCTAGAAGTAAGGGAATTCCCATAAAATTCTTTCAGTGGCTCATTGCGTCAGAAAACCCTAATTCCCTTCAGGTCTCGCATCGGTTAATAGTTAAAAGGGCGCGGTTGTCGGATGTATCATTGCACCACCATTCCTTTTCTGCATTTATTAAAGAAATTTACATGATAAAAATATATTATTCCTTAAAAATAATGTGTTTATATTTTCAGATAAAGCTGGAAGCCTTACCTTTTTTAGTATTACTCAAGCTGAATATTACCAGATCGAAATTTTATTTGAGAAAATGTATCTGGTAAACGTGACAACGTTGTAAGGAAATAAATGCAACGTTGCCACGTTTACCAGATAAATATTGCAAATCAAATTTCTACTTTTTGATTATGGTCTGGTTAATTTTCAGCCTGAGTAATAATAATTGTTTTAATTAAAAAGTAAAAAATAAGCTCCCAGCTTTAAATATGAAAATATAAGTTCATGATTTTTAGAAAAATAATGGAATTTTACTATTTAAATTACATATATAAATGCAGAAATGCTATATTAGGAATACTTCCGACAACCCCGCCGTCTTTAAGCATAACCGATACGAGACGTGAACGGAATTAGGGATTTTCTGACGCAATGAGTCACTGAAAGAATTTTATGGGAATTCCCTTACTTCTAGCAAACATATCTTAACGGGAAAAGTACCACCAGACAAAAGAGTTTAATATCTTTATGAATATATAATTAATTCACATTCAAAAATGAAAGTGAACGGGCCCTTTGATAGTTTGTCAACTAAGCCTGGAATTTCCAACGCATACCTTTTTTGAAATGAGCAAAATAGAATTTGGTCATTTTTGCCAACAATTTGCGAAAATGTACACCATTAAATTATTTATAAGACTCAGAATTTTTTATACTCTTAAATATGCAAACAGAGATTTTAAATCCTCGAAAAAGTCAGACAAAACCAAAAGAAAAATTAAAATTTTGTCCCATTTATAAATATTATTGATTTTTTTCATCATATTTTTGACTGCTTTATAAAAAAAGTTATATTTCTTTGTAGTTTTATTTCTTAACTATTCCAATGGCCCAATTAACTAACATTTTTTCGTAATTACAATAATAAATTATTATGATAGTCCAACAAACACGCACCTTAAGCCGAAACCGGCATCGCCTTTGTGAGGGAGCCGGTAAAAACGCCACTGCATACATTCGTATCCGTTCTAGGTAATTTGTGCCATGGGTACAGCACGTCACGTTGAGGACAACGCCCCGCATGAGTTCATCTCTTGCTAAGCGATATTGTCGATGTCCTTGTTTTTCGCATCATAATGAGAGAGAAAACAACAGAGGCACACATTTACTGTGCCCATCTTCCATTTAATTTCGGAATTCTCGGAACGTCGCTCAACGCCCGGTCGTCCAGTGTCGTGCCAACGCGGTTTGCGCTGAATATTAGATAAAATAATAATAGGTATTGAGGAAAATATAAAATATTTAAGTTTTTTTTGGTATATTATACTAGGGTACTGAACATAACTAAATACATAATACCCACGTTGTTGTATTAACGTCAACTCTAAGGCAAATTCTGCAACAAAATGTATCTGAAATAGTCATGGGCGTCAGCAGGAAAATAGTTAGGGGGCCAATAAAAAAAAAATTAGTTTGTCAACAACTAAATTGTAAATGTTTACAATAATAATAATAATAATAATAATAATAATAATAATAATAATAATAATAATAATAATAATAATAATAATAATAATAATAATAATAATAATAATAATAATAATAATAATAATAATAATAATAATAATAATAATAATAATAATAATAATAATAATAATAATAATAATAATAATAATAATAATAATAATAATAATAATAATAATAATAATAATAATAATAATAATAATAATAATAATAATAATAATAATAATAATAATAATAATAATAATAATAATAATAATAATAATAATAATAATAATAATAATAATAATAATAATAATAATAATAATAATAATAATAATAATAATAATAATAATAATAATAATAATAATAATAATAATAATAATAATAATAATAATAATAATAATAATAATAATAATAATAATAATAATAATAATAATAATAATAATAATAATAATAATAATAATAATAATAATAATAATAATAATAATAATAATAATAATAATAATAATAATAATAATAATAATAATAATAATAATAATAATAATAATAATAATAATAATAATAATAATAATAATAATAATAATAATAATAATAATAATAATAATAATAATAATAATAATAATAATAATAATAATAATAATAATAATAATAATAATAATAATAATAATAATAATAATAATAATAATAATAATAATAATAATAATAATAATAATAATAATAATAATAATAATAATAATAATAATAATAATAATAATAATAATAATAATAATAATAATAATAATAATAATAATAATAATAATAATAATAATAATAATAATAATAATAATAATAATAATAATAATAATAATAATAATAATAATAATAATAATAATAATAATAATAATAATAATAATAATAATAATAATAATAATAATAATAATAATAATAATAATAATAATAATAATAATAATAATAATAATAATAATAATAATAATAATAATAATAATAATAATAATAATAATAATAATAATAATAATAATAATAATAATAATAATAATAATAATAATAATAATAATAATAATAATAATAATAATAATAATAATAATAATAATAATAATAATAATAATAATAATAATAATAATAATAATAATAATAATAATAATAATAATAATAATAATAATAATAATAATAATAATAATAATAATAATAATAATAATAATAATAATAATAATAATAATAATAATAATAATAATAATAATAATAATAATAATAATAATAATAATAATAATAATAATAATAATAATAATAATAATAATAATAATAATAATAATAATAATAATAATAATAATAATAATAATAATAATAATAATAATAATAATAATAATAATAATAATAATAATAATAATAATAATAATAATAATAATAATAATAATAATAATAATAATAATAATGAATTAACAAAATGAAAAGCGTGGGGGGGGACAATCGGACACCCATGGTAATAGTGGATAAGATACGTCTAGTCTCGTGCGGAGTAAACCATTGCTATAGAGATTTAAGAAAAGTATTTGTTTCAAAATTTTATTCATATCAAGAACTAGCAACTAGTCAAGCAATTGCTTTTTAGAAAAAGCAATCGCTTTAAGTAATTGCTTAATTTTATTCATTAGGCCCATTCTTTTTATGAATGGTTTCCAAAAGTTCCGACCCAAATAATTTCAAGGAACAAAAGATTTATTTTTATAGCAGAAGGATATTAATTTTACTTTCATTGAACCGTGTTATATGGTATTTACAAAAAAAAAATGTATTGTTGATGCAAACACGCTCAATAACAATTAGGGAGCATTGAAAAACTAATAAAATTTAAGTGAATTTTGGATGATGAACAAGATTTCGAAATTGCATCATGAATTCAATTCGACATAAAACTAGTTTGATCCGGTATTCACTATTACCTGCCTGTAGTGTGTATGAGTGAAATTTTTCATCAATTTAAGTATTAAAAAACTACGATAAGTAAGTATAAAAAATATTTTTCGAATATGTTTCAATTTAAAATTTCAATTATATATATGCTGTAGAAAATTGGGATATCTATTTATACGAATTATGCTTATGACGAATTATTTAATTAATTTAAATAAAAAGTTACAAAAAAAGATTATCAGATTCAATTGACATATTTTTTAATATTGCATCACATTCCCAATTTGGTATTTTACCTATATTGCAATTTAATTTAAATTTTAATAGTTACGGATCTCTACACACAAATCACATATCCGGAATATTTCAAAAGTAAATTACTATGACGTAATCCAGGAAAATGATTTATAAAAAATTGAAATATTTTTGGTTTAGTAATACCGCTAATTAATGTTATACAGCAAAACTGTAGATTCTTTGAGTAAAAATATTGCGATTTAACCAAATGTTGGAATAATTATTTAAAATTTCTAAATCCCCATCACATGACTAACATTTTCTGAGTAGGTACAATAAAACTTTCAGGCAATAACGCGAGACGTGTTGTTTTATGGTTTTTCCCAGCTATAATGTCATAAAAGGTGCATGTCCATGTGTAGATTCGAATGTTACAGAAACCTCAAGTTTTTATAAAAACTGAGAAGATTATATGGTTTTCCCATGTACCCTTCAACTACACTAAGAAAAAAATGAGGAAAAATCCCAATAAAGTGATGACGATTTTACCTGGAAGATATTCTATAAATACGGATTTGTTATTCTAATGATGGAACCACCCAGTACTTTACAGAGAAAAGGTAATCATGATAAAAATGTTGTTAAATATCAGAACATAGTTTATATCAACATACATTATTTTATTAAAATAGTATTATGAATTATTATATAGATATTGCTGAAATTGTATTAGGGCCGATTCCACCGTTGTCTTAAACGGAGATTAAAATGACATTGTTAATGTAAAAATGTCATTTTAAACTTCGTTTGACACAACGGTGGAATCGGTCCTTAGATGATACAAATAAAGAAAATCGAACAGAAAAAGGTAAAGAAATTGATTAAAAAAAAAAGGTGAGAGCGGATTCAAATAGGAAGAAGATTGTAAAGAGAGATAAGCAGAGACGGTAAAGAAAAGCACACAGGTAGAGATACATACAGGTGGAGACAAGCAGACAGGTAGAGACGGCAGAGATGGTAGATACAGGCAGACGGTAGATATAGGAAAAGGTGAACAATGAGCAAGGAGAAGGAAGAAAACAAATATTTTTTTTTTTATTATTTTTATACAATATTTTAGATCTCTGAACCCAACCCGAAATTGAGATATAATTTTGATTGGAAATCAGAGACAACTTAAGGGACGCCCAACGTGAGGTCTGCAAAACTTAAGGGAAACATTTGAAATTTAGATTGGGAGATACGAATTCAATTGATCATAATTTTATATTTTAAATTGTTTTGAACTGTTGATTTGAGTCTGGAAGCGTTGTATTGGGTCATTAGAACAGTAACTGGGTAAAGTTTGTGTTTTTTATTTCAGTAATCAGTGAAATTTCAAAATAGAGCTTGGATAGAATAACAATATTTTGATGACAGTAATATAGTGTAAACGTGTAATTTGTAGAATTAGTAGTAATAACACAGAGTAAGTGTATTTAAAAGAGGGGAAAGATAGTTGGATTGCTGGGAGAACATGTAAAAATAATAGAATAAGGAGATAGGAATGCATAGGGTAGGACGTTTTAGAAGACATAGTTATAGACAAAAATCAATAGAAAGAAGAAGGACTTAATGCAAGGGATCATTGGAATTGAAAAATGGAAGAGAACATAGATGAAAATAGGGAAGAATTAATGAAGAAATTGGATAAAAATAGAAAAGATGATAAGGAATAATTAATAAAGAAAATAGATGAATCTGAAAAGAAGATAGGGAAACAGATTAAACAAGATGAGGAAGCAATGTGTAACAAAATAAATAACATAAAAGAAGAAATTTAAGAATTTGGAAAAAAACATACACAAATGAAAGGATTGAATAAACAAAGAATGATATAAGAATTGAGATGATAGCCAGAATGTCAGAGGTGGAGAATTTACAAGAGGGCAAGGTCAATAAAGTAATGGCAAAAGAAATTCAAGAAGAAATAGCCAAAATAAAAGACAAAGGGAATAAAAGTCAAGAAGAGATAAAGAAAATAGTTATCTCAGTAACAAAAACTAGTATAATCAATGAAAAGATGGCCGAGGAAATAAAAAAAGATTTAATAAAAATACTAAACATGGAAGAACAAATAGGTTTAAAGCAGCAACAGGAAAAAAAGTGTTATTAAAGACGATAGAAAATCATATGATAAATAGAAGAGTAAATAGATATACAGGTTGGAAAATAAAACATAAATTTGACGGAAATATAAAGAAATTACATCCAATAGTATTTGTGAAGAGAAAGGACATATAAGATTAATAGACGACCTAAAAGAAAATATAAGAGAAACAGACAATCAAGTTTTGGTAAGGTTTTCCAGCAGAGAGGCGGAAATAAAATATCTTGAAGAATTTGAAAAGTATTTCATGGAGTAGGTATTATTGGGAAGATTATGCTCAGACAAATGTAAGAGAAAAAAATGTATCTAGGAAAAAAAAAACTGCAGCTATTATGCTCTGCATCTTTATACCACAATGAATATGAAGGGAATTGGAGAATTGGAAGTTATTTTGGAGGTGTTAGGTATAATGATTTAGTAAATAGACAAAATAGATTTGGTAATTTTTTCACAGTATAATAAGAGGTATGGTCAAAATATTATTACAATAGAAATTGGAATAAAACTGATAAAATATGTTATAAAAACGTTTGCTCTTGATTTTTGTAAAGAGACCTTGATTATTGTTAATTAGCCTTACAATCCATGCGGTTGTTAATAACCATTTTGGTACTTTAAACTATTTACGGAAATCCAATATCCAATCTTACAATCTGAAACGGCAATAAAAAGAAGTTGGAATGAAGTCCTGTTCTCGTGTGCTTTTGACTCAAAAGAGGGGATACAATTCTATTAAAACCGCAGAGTTGTCGCGCTACTTGGTTTCAGTTAATTCAGTTGAGTTCTGAGTCGCAGCGCGGGAAATCGGCGAAAACGTATCAAGTGCTTGTGAATGATACTATAACATAAACAAATGCATAACATAAATAGTAAATATTAATTGGACAGTGAATTTGTGCCGTTTCCTGTGTTTTGTTAATTAATTATTTTAATTAAATCGTACTTGAGGATTAAGGTAAGCCGGCTACATTTTTAAAATGTTTATTATGCGCGACTGAAAATGAAAGTTTTATTATCTATTATTCTGTTGTATTTTCGAATAATTAATACGTTTGTTTATTATATAAAGATAAACAAAATAATTTTGTTGTCAAAACCAAGCAAATGAGGTTAAAGAAACAGGGTCATTATTTTTTTTTTAGAATTCTATCAATTTTTACCTGCAATCCTTTTTATTGAAAAGAATCTTTACCGTTTTCTGGTAAAAGGCTGATTCCTCGAAAAAAAGGGCTCGTTGGAAAAATATTAACCCTTCAAAAACCTGTAGGTACTAGGTACCTACATAGGTACAAACATTTTTTTGTTGATATATACATATTTTTTATTGCTTTGATAGTACCTATATGTCTAATTAGCCAGTGTCAGTTTGATTGGATTTAATTATCTTTATTAATGTGTGTTCTATGTAGGATTTGGCACTGTTTCCCAGCGCTACTGTGGAACAGCACTGCATCGTTCTTAAAATTCCAATCATATTGTAGAACACCTTACGCTCTATGCAATATTACCAATCTCATTTTTTTGAAAATAGTACTCCTGAACCTAGGAGGTTAACAGCGCCAAAAAGATAGCGTAAACGGTGACACGAAGGCCCTCCATGAAGGGGGGGTGCCCTGATCCCCCGTGGCTACGCCATTGCCTAAACTAAATTATTCCCTAGCATTGATGTATAATATTTATAATAAAAATCTTATTTATCCAAAGTATATCTTTCGAATTTTAAATTATTATAAATGATCCCTATTCCGATTTTATTAAATTATCGTTTAAAAGACAGCCAAGGCAATCAATCTTGTTATTCTAAAGCCTTTTTGGTAAGACAATTCACCCACTGCTTGTTTATTTATCTTATTTGGTAATTCAACTAATGGTTACAATCCCAATTAATTGTGAAGGTTTTCATACACAAAAAAAATGTATATAAAAAAATTATGTTTTACTTTTATCTATTGGTTTACGTAGGGTAAATAATTTTTGCTTTGTGGGTGGTCACAGGAAACCGACCGATTATGTTTACTATTAGGGTGTTAGGGTTTTGAGTTATCGTTATCTATGAAAGATTAACCATTATGTAAACGGAAGGCAGGCAGCTTTTTTTATTTTTATTTCCAAATAGTTTTTGTCGTGTTGAAACAGTTGATCTAATCTATATACGAGGCAGTTTGTTTATATTTCGGCAAATCATTCAGATGTTTCACAAATTAAAACGTATAAATTTTGGCAAATAAAAAAATAAAAGTATTGAGAAATTCGATATAAGTTCAATTTTGAAATAAATAATAAAATAATTGATTTTCTTTATTTACGTTTGAAAAAGTGATGACTATAAAATGCATTCTTCAAAATTACTATTTGGTCAAAGGGCGATTTGCAGCCACAGTCTTGAAGCGATCTTAAATAGCCCCAAACAGGAATTGTCCATCAATGCAGTTGTACCATTCACGAAAAAACGAGTAGTAGTCTAAGACCACTAGTACTAAACAACATGACTATTTCATTTGCACAGAAGCCAAATACCTCGGAGTCTTTGACCAAAGGCTGACGTGAAATCAACATCTCAAAAAACTCGCATATAAAGCTCTCGTAAGCTGTAGAAAAATGTGGGCTTAAGTCCCAAAATGAGAGAGATAAGACCCTTGATAACCTATGTTGCAGTGGCGTAGGTAACCAAAACTGTGTAGGTAAGTGCATTCAGCGACTCGCCTGTCTGAGTGCCACTGGAATCATGCGTACTACACCTACACCGACAGCAGCAATCCTCACGCCACTTTACATCTTTATACAAGGAGAAACCACAAGATAACGCAGGAACAAAACCCAATAATCCATCCACATCGCGCTGGCCCCACAATGCTGCACCAGCAAGTGAAAAAATGAAAAGATTATAGAAATGCCTGCTGATAGAGCTATAACTACGAAAATCCTGAAAACAGGCTAAACAGTGTTCCAGGCTGAACACCCATACAACTCCGTGCAGGAGTATCAGGCAAAACTATTACCATCTACTCTGATATCCAAGCAGCTCAGAAGGAAATTCTCAGATCAAACATCAAATAACAACTGGGGAAAGACTACCTACAGTCTGTTCGCTATACTTACGTGGGTTTCGGATTAAAAATTTTATGAGTATTTCCAGGTAAGTACCCGAAAGTTTGACCTGTTCTTTGGGGAAATATCAACTGGTTAAATGAAATGAAAAATAATGTACAACTTTTTAATTAAATAATAATGGATAATCTTTTGTATAATTGAGAGCAGAATTAAACTTCTTTATTAATGGAGTCTAATGTGGCTATTATAAACCTAATAATTATTTTATATTACACTTCACACAGAAAATATGGTCTATGTATAATAAGAGGGTTATTTAGCTCAAATAAAATATTTTCTAACATAAAAATTTGTTCCATGTAAAGAATTTCAAATGAAAAATAAAAAAATTGAACTTGCCAACAAAAATGAAAATCAGTCATTATCATCCAAAATATCATAATTGTCATCATCATCACTGTCATCACCATTAATTGTTATTATGATTGGACTTACTTCGTTTATTTTATTTTCACGAGTCCACCAATCTTCTATTAGTTTCTCGCACTTGGATATACAGCTCCGCCTCACTTCTGGAGTTGCAATTGAAAGTGCTTTTCGCCAAGTTTCCCGAACTGCGTCGTCACTATAACTATTAGGCACAATATGGTTGTCATAATATTGTTTTGCTATTCTCCATATATATCCAATGGGATTAAACTGGCAATGATACGGTGGCAGACGTAAAACTTGATGACCGTAACTTTCAATAATCTGATCCACAACAAAGGTTTTTGGTTTTGCGTGTATATTTGCCAAGCGTAATAATTCTGATTTTAATGTATATTGAGGAAATGGTATATGTTCCTTTGTCAACCATTCTTTAATTTTATCAACAATCCAAGAATTCGTTGGACTTTTGTTTAATACTTCAGAATGGTAAGGTGCATCGTCTAAAATAATTACGCTGAGCTCACTTAAACCTGGGAGAAGTTTTTCATGCAACCATTTTACAAACATTTCTGTGTTCATTTATCGTGATAGTCACTGGATTTTGATTTAGATGAAAATATTAAATCAGCACCTTTTATAAAACCCGATTTCCCTCCTGCATGTAAAATTATGTGTCGCTTCCCTTCTCCATCGGTATATTTGATGGACTTTACGTTATCATCTTGCCATATTCTCTTGGTTGCACCTCTAGAAAATATCCATGTTTCATCTAAATATACAAAATTCGCCCCTTCTTCTTTAAATTTAGAATATTTTCTTAGAAAGTTAATTCTCTTGTGCACGACAGAACTTCTTTCACAAAGGGCCTTGGGCCTTTCTGTTATCCTCCTTTTGAAATTTAAAACCCAAGTTATGTATCACTTGCCATAACTTGTTCTGCCAATGTCGTCAAATTTTCTATCTATTAATTCCGAGAGAATTGTATTTAAGGTCACATGTTCCTTGTTGGCCCTCATTCGATAAATGGTATCACGAATTTCAAATTTCTTTCCATCTGGAATATCTTTCGTTTTTAATTATGAGCGAGTTTTGGGGTGATCTTCTTTCGGCAGTTCACTATTGTGATTCCTAGAGCATCGCATACGCGTTGTTGTACAGACATTACCGATTTTAAAGGACCGTCATTTTCTTTTTCATCCGTAAAATACTTATGTACACTACAAATTAGACTATCTACATCTAACACACGTCTAGGCATTTTTAAAATTTCCACTAAATTTACAATATACATACAATGTCAACACTTGCAAAGAATCAATTCAACTGCAATATTTGTAACAAATTTAGTACCTACCCTAATGTTATTTTAATTTAAATCTGACCACTAGGGCAATTTTACCTAATTTCTTGGGAAGAGGCTTTTTGGAACTGGTTGTCAATGACTACTTTGCATAATTTTGTTAATCCGAAACCAGAAGACCTGGCGTCAAATATACAAAACAAGGTGACCCTAGCCTGGATGCCATGCCACGAGAGATATCAGAGCAACAAAAATGCCGAAGAACTAGCGGAAGAACTAACCCCAGAAGGCTAAAATAAGGCCATGACATGCCCCGAACCTTCCTGTGAGGCTGCTAATGCATTGTGCAAGGCGTCTATCAAAAATTGACCGAAAAAGAGTCTTAGGAATTGTGGAACAACTAAGATTAAGACAAACTAAATAATTCATCAAGGAACCATCGGCCAAATTCACGAAATATCTACTGAATAAAAATCGTAAGGATAACAGTAGGTCTTCTTATCGGACACTATCGCCTAAGACACCAGAGTGTCATCAATCCAGCAGAAGCAATATTGTGCAGGTTAGATATTTTTCTAATTTGAACACCTGTATATTAACAAAAGTATAATAACGTATTAATATGAAAAATGAGGCATTATCAAAATTTATTGAGTATCCTGGAGGGGTAAAGTTGGTAAAAATCAAAACTTATGTAAATAATCAGGATGTCGATTTATTATTATTGTCAAGAGATTTATCAGAAGATTAAGAAATTGTCAGGTGAAAATTTTTAAGAAATGTCAGAAGGGATTTTTGTAATTATACGAGTTATTGGATGTTATTAGAAATCTATGCATTATAGATAGATTGGAAGTTGTTTAAAGAAAAATTTTAAATATAGACAATATAAAAGAAAGGTAAAGAAAAGTAACAGCAGAAGGCAGAATTGACCAGAAGGAAAATAAGAGTAGCAGGAGAGATTATAGAAAAACAACGAAAGGACACAGGTCGGAGAACAGAAGAGAATCATCAGTAAGCAGGGCACCAAAGAAGAAAAATCTAGAAATCAGAAATTATTATTTTAATTTTAATTCGGTTTTAATTTTGTATTTTAAATGTTTAGAGTCGAACCATCCCTTTTAAAGAGTTTCGGGAAAAATTTAAATTTTCGAATATCAGTATATTAACAA